GAAAAGTGTTTTAATTTTTTTTTTTTTTTTTTTTTTTTTTTACAAAGTTTGAAATCTGCTGGTAAAATGGGAAGAACACGGGCTTGGGAGTAAACTGCACTGTGTTTTCCTGGATAATCTGGGACCTGAGGCTAATGATACCCAACCTCATTGACAGGTGAGGGCTACAGGATGAATTAAAGACAAGGTCTGGCATGTTTTCAGTACTATTCCCTTCTCGTGCCCTTCCTGTGCATTTCTGTGGAGGTGTGACCATCTGGGAACCAGAGACAGGCTGTCTGAGCGTGATTCTCACACAATCACTTGTTAGCTATGTGCCCTTAGCAAGTTTCTTAACCTCTCTGAGCCTCATAGTTTCCTAGGTGATCATAATAATAATCATAATAATGCCCCCTCCGGAGAGTTGGTATAAAGATTATATGAGAAAATCCTTATAAAAGGACTAGGCCCTGGTACATGGTAAGAACTCAGGAAATGTTAGCAAATACTAGTACAACTGGGATTTAAGCAGTGATCCTGGTCTTGCTGGTCCTTTTATGTGACCTTTCAAGGTCATGTCTGCCTTCCTCCCCATCCTCTGCTGAGGTTCTGCTCTGTTCCATAGGTTGTTGGAAGGCAGCTGTAACTTAAGAAACTGTGTGGGCAAATGACTCGCAGAGGCTCCTTATGTTTAAAAAGACTTGGTATGAGGCATTTTATCTTGAAGGGTGTTTGCTGGTGAAAGATCTACATTTACTGTCAGATGGGACTCATTATCTCAGCCTCCCAGATGGATCAGTAGGGGACTTGGTTTCGAAAAATAATACTGGAAGGATGTTCAAGTAGAATCTGCAAGTGTATTATTTCTGGGATTGCATTTTTCGTCATTAGGGGACTGATAGCCATTTACGGAAGATGCTGGGAATCAGAGGGTATCACCACTACCCACCTAGAAGAATTATCAGGGTGTGTCATGATCCAGGATCAAACGGAGGCTTTAGCAAAGGAGGAACCAACAGACCCCACCTCAGTGTGATCTTATATTTGACACGAACACCTTTGGGTCTCTGGGCCATTTTAAAGTCTCTTGAACATTTTTAAATAATAAAAAAAAGACTTGGTATGAAAAATAAAGAATCAACATTTTGGCAACATTATGACATATGATGTGGTGATAAAGCTGAGAAATAGTTGGGCATGTGATAAGCAAGCGGAGTACAATGTTAACGGCAGGATCTACGTAGCTGGATGGATGCTCACTGCAAAATTCTTTCAACTCACCAATGCCTGAATCTTTCACCATAAAATGTTGGAAACAATTCAGGCCACAGAACTGGATACTGCTCACTTGTGTGGCTTAGACAACCTGCTCAAATCTGTAAGCTTCTCTTAACCTTACAGGGCTGCTGGGAGGATGGCATGAGGCAGCGTAAGTGAAATCCCAGCACCTGTTCCACTGGCATAAGCAGACGGCCCTTCTGGAGTCAAAGGTGCGGGTCTAGGCCCCTGGGTCCCCCATATCTCCCTTGTGAACACATGAGGATATCCTTGCCTTCTCCTCGCAGCTTCTCATGACCTACCTTTTGTTCTCGGTCTCCAAGCACACAGTCATCTTCATATACTGATCTTCTTTTCTCTCTTCCAAAGTGGCGGACACGAGAGAAAGCTCCCCAAAGAGGGAGACCAGCCAGGTCAGGCGAGAGATGCCGCTGAATGCAGGGAAGCCAAACCGTTCTTCTTCCAGGGGGCCAGCTGTGGGGAATTACAGACATGGCGGGGACTGGAGGGGCGGGGCTGACAGCTGGGGGGCATGCGGGACGTGACAGGGAGCGAACAGATGTGGCTGGGTGATCAGGACACACAACCTACCTTGTGACGGGGGTGTGCAAGATGACTAATTCTGATGGAGACTTTCATAAAAACGTCTCCCTTTTGTCCTGTTTCTTAAATTCACTTTGTTGGTAAAATAAAATATTTCACTGGAAATTGCAGTCCATCTGGCCCACAGGGTAATAAAAATGTTTTAGGCTTCTAACGTGTGTGTGTGTGTGTGTGTGTGTGTGTATGCACACACACACACACATATATGTAAACATATATTCCCTTCAGTTAGTGACTTAAAGAAGTAAAAGAATTAATGTATTTTAGTCCCTCAAGCCTATATTCCTATAAATACCATATAACTGTCTGTGTAAGTGATAAGGGAGTGAAGGAATTGTGATAGATGTGGAGAAAGTAGTAATTCCTATAAAGTAGTCAATATCAGCACTAAGTGTTTTCTCAGTCTTCATAATCTCCTGTACAACAGTATATTGCAACGAGTATCTGTACGAGAAATCTGGTCAAGATACTGCTCCCCTCTCTTCCCAGCCTAAATTTTAAAAATAACCTAGATTTATAAGACTTCATATCTGTTACACTGCTCTTTAAACCAAAGATTTCTTAAAACTTTGATATTGACTTAAAACAACTAATAATTATGAGTATGTTCTAAAGAAAACAAGCAAAGTAAATAAAAAGAAAAAACAAAGATTGTAAGTTTCATAGACAACATGGTTTCAAATCACTAGGACCTAAGTATGAAACTTACAAAGGAAAGGCAGCTCCCTCTGGGCTGGTTCCTGTCTGCTCTTGTTGTTTGCAGAGGACTGAACAGCTGCTACAAGTCTGAGCTCCAATCTGTCTGCCTCCGCCACATAACTGTTGGGTTATTTGTGAAGCTACTCACTTCTCTGAGCTTCATTTAAAAAAATCTGTATAATGGGGGTAATAAATACCCACTTTATAGGATTATCATATGAATTAACATGAAATAATGTCACATACTTAGCCCAGTTCCTTGTGCAAATTAATGGTTATTATTGTCTCCACAACTCTCATTATATCATCATTTTAAAGGATGAAGATGGATTTTGTGCCATTCTTTTTTTTTTGGCTGCACCTCACGGCATGCAGGATCTTAGTTCCCCAACCAGGGGTTGAACCCATGCCCCCCGCGCAGTGGAAACGCAGAGTCCTAACCATTGTACCGCCAGGGAAGTCCCTGAAAATGGATTTTGAAATGAGATTCCACTACTGTATATTTTCTGGAAACTCACAAACAGATGAATGGTTTTACCACTTGACAATGTCGGTTTTGTTTCTGTATAGAAAGCCCTCAGGAAAGGTGGCCCAGACGCCTTAGGGTGGAGACAAATCCAAGGAGTCCACCCAAAGGAGACTGCAGACCTTGAGGCTCCAGGCTGTTCATTTCCTTCTGCTAATGGAGGTGCTCAAAGAATGACCAACATAAAGTAAATAGCTGAATATACAGATCAAATATCTTGGCCACAGCCAACGTCCTGATAACATGTTGGAGGAAGAAAGGGTCTATGCATATTCTATTTGCTCCACAGAGAAGTATAAACACGTTCTCTTCTCCAAGAACCTCCTCGGTCCTTTAGCAAAGAGAGCTTTCATGTTTAACCTCCTGTGGAAAAATAATCTCCAACTCGTCAAGATTTCATGAGAGAAAATTCTACCTAATCGATTGGGCCAAAAGCATAAATGTGCTCGAGATTTCTAACACGTTTCCCCAAGGCCCACTGAGCAATCAGATCTCATTTGAGGAAAGAAGAAAAATAGATTATTTTTATTGTCTGTGGGTGCGTGGGAAAATTAAATCGGCCCTCAGTCAGAACGTCTTTAGCAGACATGAATCCAAGCTCACATCCTAGAGAGCTCAGAACCCAGTAACCCTCCACCAGCCTCACCAGTTACATATGACCTGTGATCCCACCAAGGGCTGACCTGTGAAGACGAGAGACCCTTTCAGCAGGTCCTTCCCCACCACTTCTTTTTTCAGGAATGCAAACTCCTCCATCAAGAGTTCAACGTGCTCCTCATGCAAGACTTTCCCTGTCACGACAAGGATGGGGTTTTAAAAAAAAAAAAAAAAAAAAGGCAGTCATCCTAAATCCTGTTAATTTCCTCGTATTTTTTTCATTTTTAAAAATTGAGAATGTACGTATAACTGAATCACTTGGCTGTACAACTGAAACTAACCCAACATTGTAAATCGACTATACTTTGATAAAAAATATATATATATTAAAAAATTTTTTTTTAATTTGCTCAAAAATGCTATGTCCATGCTTTGGATTCAAGATGGCTGATTGAACACACACATTTATTTCCACTTTTATCAAAATCCTAATGAATTTCATGAAAAAGTTATTTAAAAATAAAATTGAGGGGTAATGGACAGATATAACTATATCTTTAAAGTGTACAATGTGCTGTTTTGACGTACATATGCATCGTGGAATGATTATCAAGATCAAGACACTTAACACATCCATCACCTGACAGTTCACTCTGTGTGTGATAAGAATGCTTAAGACCTACTCTCAGCAACTTTCAAGTATACAATTCCATATTATTAACTATAGCAACCATGTTGTACATTAGATCCTCGGAACTACTACTTATAATTGAAAATTTGTACCCTTTGATCTATATTGCCCTATTTCCCCTTCCCCCAGCCCAAGGCAACTGCCATTCAAATCTCTGTTTCTATGAAACAGCCTTTTTTTTTTTCTTTTTAGATTCCAGTCTAAGTGAAACCATACAGTATTGGTATTTCTCTGACTTATTTCACTTAGCATAATGCCCTCCAGGTTCATTCATGTTGTAGCAAATGGCAGGATTTCCTTCTCTCATGGCTGAATAATATTCCACTGTATATATAAGCCACATTTTTCGTTATCCTTTTCATCTCTGGAAGAACATTTAGGTTGTTTCCATCTCTTGGTTATTGTGCATAATGCTGTGATGAAAATGGGTGTACACGTATCTCTTCAATACACTGATTTCAATTCCTTTGGATATATACCCAGGAGGGACTGCACTTTATTACTGGGTAATTACTGGGTAATATATACCCAGGAGGGACCCAGTGGGACTGCTGAATCATGTGATAGTCCTATTTTTAATTTTTTGAAGACCCACCACAGTCTTTTCCATAGTGTCTGCACCAACTGATATTCTCACCAACAGTGCACCAGAGTTCTCTTTTCTCTGTATCCTCGCCAACACTTGTCTCTTGTCTTTTTGATGACAGCCAATTCTAACAGGTGTGAGGTGGTATCTCGTGGTTTTGATTTGTATTTCCCTGATGATTAATGATGTTGAGCAACTTTTCATATATCTGTTGGCCATCTGAATGTCTTCTTTGGAAATATGTGTATTCAGTTCCTCTGCCCATTTTCTAATTGGAGTATTTGCTTTTTGGTTATTAGTTTTCTGAGTTCTTTATACTTCGGATATTAACCCCTAATCAGATATACAGCTTGCAAATACTTTCCCTCTTCTGTAAAGTATCAATTTATTGATTGTTTCCTTTGCTGTGTGGAGGCTCTTTAGTTTGATGCAGCCCTATTTGTTTATTTCAGCTTTCATTTCCTGTATGCTTGGTGTCTTACCCAAGAAATCATTGCCCAGACCAATGTCAAGAATTTTTCCCTGTGTTTTCTTCTAAGAGTTTTACAGTTTCAGGTAAGTCCCTTTTTTTTGAACAGCTCTATTTGTCCTTGATACATCTCAAGATAATTTTTGTGAATGGTGTAAGATAGGGGTCCAGTTTCATTCTTTGGCATGTGGCCATCCAGTTTTCCCAGAACCACTGATTGAAGACTATCCTTTTCCCACTGTGTGTTCTTGGTGTCAAAAATCAGCAGACTATATATGCATAGGTTTATGCCCTGCTCTTTATTCTGTTCCAGTGATCTATGTGCCTGTTTTTAGGTCAGTACCACACTGTTTGGATTACTACAGCTTTGTAATATGGGTTTAAATCAGGTGGTGTGATGCCTCTAGCTTTGTTTTTCATCTCAGGAATGCTTTTTTAATTTAAAGTCTTTTGTGGTTCCATACAAATTTCGGGGTAGTTTTTTCTATTTCTGTGTAAAATGCCATTGGGATTTTCATATGGACTACACTGAATCTGTAGATTGCTTTGGGTAGTATGGACATTTTAACAATACCAGTCCTTCCAATTCAAGAACACAGGGTATCTATCCATTATTCATGTCTTCCTGAATCTCTTTCATCAATGTCTTATAGTTTTCAGTGTACATGTCTTTCACCTCCTTTGTTAAATTATTCCTAAGTATTTTATTGCTTTTGATGGTGCTGTAAATGAGATTTCTTTCTTAATTTCTCTTTCAGATACTTTGTTGTTGGTATATAGAAATGCAACTGATTTCTGTACGGTAATTTTGTATTCTGTAACTTAACTGAATTTATTAGTTCTAACAATTTTCAGTGGAGTCTTCAGGGTTTTCTACATATAAGATCATGTCACCTGCAAAAAAAAAATTTTAATTTTCTTTCTAATTTGGATGCCTTTTATTTATCATTCTTGCCTAATTACTCTGGCTTCAGCTTACAGTTTACTATGTTAAATAGCACACAGTGGTAATTATGGGCACCCTTGTCTTGTTCCTGATCTCACAGGAGAGGCTTTTAACTTTTCACTACTGATTATGATGTTAGCTGTGGGGTTCTCTGTATCATCTTTGTTATGTTGAGAAACATTCCTTCTACACCTAATCTGTTGAGAGGTTTTATCACAAATGGATGTTGAACTCTGTCAAGTGCTTTTTCTGCATCTATTGAGATGATCATATATTTATCTTTCATTTTGTTAATGTGGTATATCACATTTATTGATTTACATGTTGAGCCATCTTTGCAATCCAGGGACGAATCCCACTAGATCATAGTGTATGATCCTTTTAATGTGCTCTTGAATTTAATGCAGATTTTTGCATCTATGAACAATCATGGATAGCAGCCTGTAATTTTCTTTTCCTGTAGTGTCTTTGTTTGGCTTGGTATCAGGGTAATGTTGGTCTCATAAAATGAGTTAGAAAGTGTTCCTTCCTCTTCAAGTTTTTGAAAGAGTTTGAGAAGGATTGTTATTAATTCTTCTTTAAATGTTTGGTAGAATTCATCTGTGAAGCCATCTGGATTTTATATGTTTGGAGGTTTTTGATGACTTATTCGATCTCCTAATCCCCTTGATTGTTATTGGTCTGCTCAGTTTTTCTTTTACTTCATGATTCAGTCATGGTAAGTTGTGTGTTTCTAGGGATTTATCCATTTCTCCTAAATTATCTAATCTGTTGGCATAAATTGTTCATAGTCTCTTATGATTCTTTGTATTTCTGTGGTATCAGTTACAATGTCTCCTCCCTCATTTATAATTTTATTGAGTCATTTCCCTTTTTTCTTGGTAAGTCTAGCTGAAGATTTGTCAATTTTATCTTTTCAAAAAGCCAACTTAGTTTCATTGATCTTTTCTACTGTCTTTCTAGTCTCTATTTATTTCTGCTCTAATCTTTATTATTTCTCCCCATCAACTAAGTTTGTTCTTCCTTTTCTATTTCCTTGAGATGTAAAGTTAGGTTGTTTGAGTTCTTTCTTTTTTCTTAATGTAGGTGTTTATCACTGTAAACTACTCTCTTAGAAATGCTTTTGCTGAATCCCATCAATTTCTGTATTTGTGTTTCTATTTTCATTCACCTCAAACATTTTAAAACATTTACCCTTGATCCACTGTTTTTTCAGAATGTGTTGTTTAATCCATATATAGGTGAGTTTTCCAGCTTTCCTCCCATTATTGACTTCTAATTTTATACCATGTAGTCAGAAAAGATACTTAATAAGATTTTAATCTTATTAAATTTGTTTTCTGACCTAACATATGATGCGTCCTGGAGAATGTTCCATGGGCACTTGAGAAGAATGTGTGTTCTGTTGCCATTGGTTGGAATGTTCTGTATATGTCTGTAACGCAACTTGGTCTAAAGTGTAGCTCAAATTCATTAGTTCATAATGTATTTCTGTCTGGATATTTTATCCATTGTTGAGAGCAGGGTATTGAAGTCCCCTACTATTATTGTATTGCTGCCTATTTTTATCATCAGATCTGTTTAGGTACTCCAATATTGGGAGCATACATATTTACAGTTTTTATATCCTCTTAAGGAATTGATCCCTTTATTATATAATGACCTTCTTTTTCTCTTGTTACAGCTTTTGACTTTAAGTCTGTTTTGTGTGATATGCTACACCTGCTCTCCTTTGGTTTCCATTTGCACAGAGTATTTTTCCATCCACATGGAATATTTTTTCATCCTTCCACTTTTGGCCTATGAGTGTCCTTAAAGCGTGAATCTTTTGTAGGCAGCATATAGTTGAGTCTTATTTATGAATTGAGCTACTCTTTGTCTTTTAATTGGAATATTTAGACTATTTACATTTAGAGTAATTATTGATAGGTAAGAACTTATTGCCATTTTGTTACCTGCTTTCTGATTGTTTTATAGTTCCTTTCTTCCTCTCACTGTCTTTCTTTTTATTTTTTTTAAAATTATTTATTTATTTTTGGCTGCATTGGGTTTTTGTTGCTGCATGTGGGCTTTCTCTAGTGACGAGCAGGGGCTACTCTTTGTTGCAGTGTGCAGGCTTCTCACTGCGGTGGCTTCTCTTGTTGTAGAGCACAGGCTCTAGATGAATGGGCTTCAGTAGTTGTGGTACATGGGCTCAGTAGTTGTGGCTCACAGGCTCCAGAGCACAAGCTCAGTAGTTGTGGCACACGGGCTTAGATGCTCCGTGGCATGTGGGATCTTCCTGGACCAGGGCTTGAACCAGTGTTCCCTGCATTGGCAGGTGGATTCTCAACCACTGTGCCACCAGGGAAGTCCCTCACTGTCTTTCTTTATGAGTTGATCGTTTTTGGTCATGGTATCCTTTGATTCTTTTCTCTTTATCATTTTTTTCCTTGGTGGTACTAACAGTACCATGAGGCTTTCATAATACATCTTATGACAGTCCATTTTAAGCTGACAGTA